GCCTGACCAAGTCCCGTGGCTTCAAAATCTGGCTCTCTGCCACTCAAGTAGGTCAAACACGGTAGTTCTGTGTGATTTTATTGTCATTTAATTTGAGAGAGGTCGACTGTCTTTTCTGTTGTGTGCGTAAGAGCCATTTGGAGTTCCTTTTCCATATGAAGCTTTTTCGCTGTCCGGGAGCAACCCCGAGCGGAGGAAGCAGATGCAGGTGCGTGGGCGCATCTCTTGCATGTTGTGCGTCTCCCTGGGAGGAGTGGGATGTGCTCCACGGGGGCCACGCAGGAAGCGGCCACCTGGTGGAGGGTGAGGTTTTGAGTTCCCACTCCTGCTTCCTTTCTCAGCCTTGGGTTCCTCTTCTGTTAACAGTAGGCAAAATAATAAAATCTACTTGGATGAATTTAAGTTTGTAACGTGAAATGCCCGATACAGTTCCAGGCTCCTACTTAGCGCTTAAGAAATGGTTGTTGAATGAATAAATGAAATAGATCTTACAGTAAAAACCTTTATTGAGCTCTTACTGTGTCTAAACTCTCATGTGTTATTAAAACTGAATTAAATCTCACAGAGACACCATGAGAGATACTCCTCTGATCCCCTTTTACAGATGAGGCACACAGAGACATACAGGACTTTGGCTAAGGGCTTAGAGCTGGTCAGTGGTGGAGATGACATTTGTGCCTTGCTGTGTGGCTCTTCCCTGCCTCTTCCCTGCCCTCCACCCTAGGAGAGGGTGCCATTATCAACCCCCATTCCAGTTGTCCATCGCTGCGAAACTAACCTCCCCAACCTAAGGGACATAAAGCAACACCCATTTTATTATGTGTGTGGGTTCTGAGGACCAGGAGTTCAGACAGGGCAGAGTGGGGCCAGCTTTTCTCCACTGGGCCGGAGCTAGGAAGACTCTGCAGCTGGGAGAGGCGGATTTGCTGTCCCTCCTCCGAGATCCTCTCCTCTGCGGGCAGCCTTACTGCACCTTGTAATTGACTTGAGTACAGACCGAAAGCTCCGGGGACAAGGCGGAGGTGTTTATCACCAGCACCCAGCACAGTCCCAAGCACACAGCAGCCCCTTTATGCATATTTACTGAATAGATAATGAGATGAGATGGGTGGATTTTGAATGGCTTTAACTTGAGCCTCAGTTTCCTCTTCTGTAAGTGAGCTTGCAGGCAGAGCTGCAGCGAAGCTTCAGGAGTTGAAGGATGTGACGAGGCCCACACGCAGGAGGAAGTCAGAAAGATGATCTATATGGAAGGGAGAAAAGCAAAGGAAATGAGCTACTGCCCCCAAAGCGCCTAGCCGGCTCAGTACATTTAAGACATTCTTATTATTGATCATCACGATCATTACTATTATTTTGTTATTACAAGAATGCGCATTTCCTGAGTCTGATGGACCACACAGGATGGTTTGAAATGTTCCTATAAGTGAAAAACGGACAAATATAACTCCACGAGTCACTGGGGGCCCGGAGCTGGGATGTCTTGGCAGGAGGTCAGGAACTGCTGCAGTCATGGTAACCGGCTGTGGGATGTGGGACTCGGAGCCTCCTCCGAATCCATGTCCCCTCTGTGCCAGGGAGGGCCTGAGTCGTGGACCCTCGCTGCTGTAAATGCCACTCGGCAGAAGCCACCATCACAACGGTTGTCGTTCAGCCTGAGGCGGGAGGCAGCCTCCCCCTGTCATCCACCCCCCCGGCCCTGCTGGGAGAGAAGAGCCAGGAGCCCCCCTATTTCTGAAAAGTGCCTGGTTACCAGCCTGGCTGCTGCAGCCGTCCTGGTTGGGCAGTGCCCTCTAGGGACAGGAGGTGGGAAGCACATGCAGGGCGGGGCGTGCAAGCGTCAGGCAGAAATGGGGACAGAGCAAGCTCTGGGGTGGGGTGTCTGCCTGCGGAGGGGGACCTCACGTGGCCCCTGGAGCCGGAGTGGGAGGCGGGGGGAGGGTTGAGCAGGGAGCTCTCAGTGCACGCCAAGCCGTGTTTTCTCCCTCTGGAATAGTATCTGGCCGGCAACAAGCCTCCCTCTGGGCTCTGTCCCTCTTTGGCTGGATGACCCTGGCCAGTTTCAGAGATTCTCTCTGAGCTTCACCTGTAAGAGGCGGTTAGATGGGAGAGTCTCCCTCCCAGTCAGGCAGCCCAATCCTCCGGAGAATGTGGGAGAGGCTGGGATGAGAAAGGATTAGGAGCTGGATGGGACAGAAAGTCTGAGATCCAAAGTTTATAGGAGGGGCTTAGGCCCTCAAGAAACTTTCTCTCCTAATTTGAAACCGTTAAAAAAAAAAAAAAAAAAAAAGACAACCTTGTCCACAGCCCTCATCTGGAGACAGAGGACCAGGTCTCTGAGGGAAAGAAGATGGCCAGGGCATTGCAGGACAGGAAGCTTCCACTCCCATCTTGATTTCTTAGAATGGTGGACTTTAGAACCTCCAGCATCCTAGAATTCAAATCTCACCAGAAAACAAAATAGAGAAGAGATACATACATGAAACTCTATAGAATCGGATTGCAGAGGCTTGCAGTCAGAAGCAGAAAGGCGAATGCCTCAGACTTAGGCCCCGAGCACTGTGCAGCTGCAAGTCACCCGAGAGAGTCACCCTCTCCACTGAGCTTGTCCTGGAATGAGCAGTTAGCTCTCCCTGTCTGCCCCCAAACTTGTTCACAATTAGTAGGCTTGGGGTAGGACGCTGAAGTCTGAATTTTTAAAAAGAGCCCCAGAGAATGCTGTTGGGTCACTCAGATTTGGGCAACGGATATAACCTGATCATGCCTCCTCTTCATCCATCAAATTGGGGGGGACTGAGGCCCAGAAAGAAAAAGTGACTTGGCCTAGAGCCCACAGACAGCTGGTGCCAGGCTAGGGCTTGAACCTGGCCCCCCAGTCCTGAGGCCACACTCACCAGCAGCCAGGGGGATTCAGATGGCTCCTTGGGATGGTCACTCCTCCTGGGTGTCCCTGGTCATCCAGAGCACAGATGGGTTCCTGTGGCCACTTCTGTGATTCATGGGGTCGAGAGGCACTGGGGGTGGGGAGCACAGCTCTGCTGTCTTCTGCCTGTGGCTAAGCCCCCTTCTTGAGAGGAGCCTGGTTGTGGGGGCTGAGGGTCCCTCCTCTTTTTTCAGCACCCCCTTCATCCCCAACCCTCCCCTCGTCCTCTCAGCCCTGAGCATTCCAGGGAAAACCGCCCCACATGGTTTAGATTCACTTATTCCAAACTCATCAGCGTCATGGTTTTATAACACCCGCCCGATGCCCAAGAAGCACTTGCAAATTTCTTTTTTCTTTTCTCTTTATTAAAAAAAAAAAAAGTTGGGGTCTTGAAACAACAACAATAGAGCAGTTCAGAGGCACAAACTTTTGCAGAGGAGAAGCTGGTGGTCTGGCCAGGCGAGGAAGGGCTGCAGCTGTCCCCAGGGAGGCGAAGGGGGAGCGGGAATGAGGGTGGGCCTTGGTAGTGCGGGGGCCTCCAAGGGATTGTGCGAGAGAGGGGGAAGCCTGAGGGTGGGCACTTTCTTGGAGTGGAGGGGAGGGGTGCTCCCTTCATCACCTTTAGCCTCTCTTCCAGCCTGCGCACAACCCTTCCCGAAGCCACCCCGGGCCTCTTGGGCCTCGGCCTCTCAATGCTCCTAGCTGCTAGACCTTCTGGGTTCAGGCCAGCCCGTCATGCCAAGGCAAATTGGGAGCACCCCTTCCTGGGGACGCAGGGAGGCCAAGGAGGAGGGGCTAGGTACCATGATGGTGGAATGACAGGCAGTGAGAACAAACCGAATTCTGAGCTAAGTCTTACTTGAAACTCCCCGATGTTCTTCCCCCCCTGGTGCAGAGATGTCACAGTGAAATGCAAGTGCTCAGGGTTCAGTGGTGGCATGTGGGAGTGGAGGAATCCTCCCCTGCTTCTGACCCTTCCCTTGCTCCTTCCTTCCTCACCCCCAAAGGCCCCCAGAGTTTCCTGTGGATCTGCTGTGCTGGGCAGCCAATAAGTAGAAAGCGTAGCACCTGGATTTCCTGGGTGACCTTGGGCAAGTCCCTTCTTGGGTCTCAGTTTCCCCAGGGGTACAAGGGGCAGGAGGCTCCAGGGTGGGGAATAGAGCTGCTTGGATAATCTCAAAATTCCTTTCGGCTTTGATGGCCTCTTCTGGGCTGGGCCCGTGGTTCCCCCGGGGATGACAGTCCTATCGGATGCGGTGCTTGGTCCCCCAAAGGACACGGGAGTACAGTCAGCTTGGGAAGAAGGGGGCAGGGAACCACGAGGGAGGGCAGTCACGGAGCACCGAGGGCAGACTCTGTGGCCACAGGCAGGCTCTGGGCTGGCTGTCCAGCCAGAGGCCACATCTGTGTCCACACAGGGCACGGGGAGCCCCCAGAGCCTCTTCCAGGGGGTTCCCATGGGCGCCGGTGACAGAGGGCTGCAGAGATGGCCACCAGGGATTGGCCTGAGCAGGGAGCACTGGCAGCCCCGGGGTCCCGGGTCTCCTCTGGAGCAGAAGCAGGGTGGTCAGGACTCTCCCAGCCTGCCTGGATCGTGGCCTGGGCCCCGCCCGTGGAAACCCCTTCTCTGCGAACGTGGGGTCAGGACAGGGTCAGGGAAAGCCCTAGAGAAAGATGTTTGCTTTCTTTAAGAACTAGAGAGAGCAGCTGGGGAGCGAGACACAGAGGGCTGGTCTCTCAAAGTGTGCGTGATAGTGCATGTGTGTGCGTGTGTGTGAGAGAGAGACGGAGAGAGCAGGACACAGGGAAGAACAGGAAGGAAAACAGGAGAAAAGGAAAAGAAAGGCGGACAGATAAAAGGTTTAAAGAGAAAGAAGGGAAAGGACGGGAGGGAGGAGAGACGGAAGGAAGAGCAGGAATAAAGGAGAGAGCAGGAAAGGCAGAAGGACACAGGGAGGAAGCGGAGGGTGGGGAGACGGAAGGATACAGTCCCAGGGGCAGCAGGAGGGGGTGGCGTGGGGCAGGGGCTGCAGGGGGCGGAGGGGGGGAGCTGCAGGTTTGGGGTGGGGGGGGCTCCTCAGGCTGGTGGGCGGGGCCTCACGTCCAGCGTGCGGTTCAGCCTCCTGTCCTTACGCGGACGCCGGTCTCTGCGGCCCTTCTTCTGGCTGGGGTTCCTCTCTGCACCGAGAGCACAGGGCATTGTTCAGCGCGGCCCGGGGAAGCCCCTCCATCCACGTGCTTTTGAACACTCGCCCGTCACTGAACACCCCCAGGCTGCCGGCGTGGGGCCCGTCACACGGCTTACTTGGGCTTTCCTAAGAGTTGGTCCCCCCTTGGGAAGTCGCGTCTCTGCGCCCCGACCAAACGACCGTAGCCCTCACTTTTGCTCTGACTCCGCTAAGTGTTTGCAATGTGTGTTGAGCCCAAGCACGGAGTTTCTTTTATTTCTCTTTTATATGACAGGGCACTCTACTGATTTTTTTTTTTTTTTTAATGACCTGTGCAAGGGGATAACGTTATCCATGAACTTTGGAGTCGTAAAGAGGGCGCTCCGAAATCCTTGTTATTACAAGGGAGGCGGTCATTCTGAAAGGGCAGAGAAGTCCTGATGAAGGCAGGCACATATCCGTCCCGTAGCTGGGACTGACCCCCGCCAGGGAAGCCTGCCTTTGAAAGGACACCAGGGAGGGCAGGACTTAACCCACGGGGAGGTATGGTTAATCTTGGACTTTTGGGCCGCCTTACGGGTGCTGTTTGGGTAGGCGATGTCTCCAGCCCCCCGGCGTCCCCCCGGGGGGGAGTTCTGCCTGCTGCAGCCCCGAATGTCGCCTGGGGCTCACCTGCTGGGCAGGGCCTCTGGATGGGACATTTCCTTGACTCGGACAGCACCTGGCAGATTGCCGCCTCCTCCCGCCCGGCCCTGCCAGCCTCCCGCACCCGGGTCTCCAGGCCCCAGGCCGAGCCGCACGTCTTGCCGTTGTGCACGCAGGGGCTCCAGCTGCCCCAGGGGCCCAGCTCACATTCTTCTGTTGGGTGGAGAGAGACAGACAGACAGACAGATCGGGTCAGCTGGCAGGGAATGTCCTTCAGATCCAAGGGCAGGGTCGGAGGGGTCCCTGTCCCCGAAGACACCAGCTCTCACGAGGAGCAGAGGGGAGACACTTAACTATCTATTTATGAGGGCCCGGGATGGGCGCCATACTAAAGCATGCCCGGGCCAGAAGCAGGAGTGACCGTTGGCTTTAGAGGGGAAGGCTTCCCTGAGGAGGTGACAGAGGAGCTAAAGGGAGAGGAGGAGATCCAGTGGAGCCGGAAGGAAGCAGGATGCAGGCAGGCAAACGTGTCCGAGGGAGGGCAGCTAGAGTGGGGGCAGGGGGGAGGCTGGGAGGAGGAGGGGCAGGCCAAGAGGCCAGAAGGTCGGCTGGGAGGCCCTCAGGGCCAGGACATCGCTTTGACCTTGATTATGTGCCTCTGATGGGCTGAGGAAGGCGGAAGCCATGCAGGGCTATTGTGAGGAAAAATGAGGTCACGGGACAAGAAAGTTCTCAGTAGGGAACAATTTTAAAATATACAAAAATATATATAGTCTTTCACATTTGATTCTTTCACGAGTCCCGGAGAGGTAGACAAAGAACAGGGCAGCTATTAATACCCTCATTTTGCAGATTAGGCCACTGAGGCCTAGAGCAGGTAGGGGGCCTGCTAAGAGAACAGAGAAGGGGCTCCACGTCAGAACATGGCAAGTGTTTAAGACCTAGTCCGGCCCAGAAACCAGGTCTGCAGACCTGAGAACAGTGGTCCTTCTGCTAGATGTGTTCGTTTGACGAGCAGGGACTGAGCACCTGTCGTATGCTTCGTGCTGTGTTACACGCTGATTGGCAGAGGGCACAGGACAGACCTGGCTCGGACTCCCAGAGTTCACCACCCAGAAATGTCAGGCTGGAAGGGCAGGGTGCTTGTGCCGTAATGGGGGAAACACAGGCAGCTGCTGGAGCCCAGAAGAGGCATGGGTCCCAGGGGCGTGAGGGACCCGGAAGGCTTCCTGGAGGAGGAGACTCTTGACCTGAAGCTTGAAGTAGGGGTGGGGAGATTAGCCAGGCTCAGGGAGGGGCAGAAGGGAACCTGAAAAGGATTTGAACCCAGGTCTGTCTTATTCTAGAATCAGTGCTTTTCTTGTGACCTCTGGGGCCTCCCTTGGTAATAGCAACGAAGCTGGTGTTGGTAGTGATAGTGATCGTAATAATGGTGCTCATGATGGCGTTGTGTATTGAAGGGTCCCTGTGTGTACCTGAAGTCACCGGTTGGGCCTCCCAGCACCACGTGACATTCTCCTATGGTTCTTCCAGGTCTCCAGACACCCCTCACCAGCCCCTGAAGGGAAGGAGGCAGGGCGAGGAGGCCCCCACTCACCCTGGCACTCCCGTGTGCTGGGCTGGGCCACGGTGCCCAGCGGGCAGGTGGGCAGACACTTCCCCTTGTACAGGAAAAACCGCCTCTTGCACTGGATGCAGAAGTCCTGGCTGAAGCAGCTCTCGCACGTGGCCCCGCATTCTGCAAGAGAGCCAGGGCCACCCGTGGTGAGGGTGACTGCCCAGAAGGGGGCCCTCTGGGCTTGCCTGAAGTGGGAGCGCTTTGAGCAGCCCAAGTTCTGCAGCACTGGGGGCAGGATTCAGTCTCCTTTGAAGCCCAGACCTGTGCGGGAACTGCATTCAAGAACTCCCTTCCTCATCTGCACTAAGGCTCATGGGGGGCAGGTGACACATCCAAGGTAATGTGGTTATTTGGATGTAAAGGTCAAGATTCCCTTTCTCATTTGAGCCAAGGCTCAGAGAGGGCAAGTGACTTGTCTAAAGTCACATAGCAAATCTGGGCTGTGCGTGAGGACTTCCTGCTGCATTTCTTTTTTTTTTTTTTTAAAGATTTTATTTATTTGTTTGAGAGAGAGAGAATGAGAGAGAGCACATGAGAGGGGGGAGG